GATACAAAATAAAGATTAAACAAAAAAAAAAAAAACATGTTTAAATGCTCCTGGCATTTCTTTAAAAAAATAGCAAAAACATGTTTAAATGCTCCTGGCATTTCTTAAAAAAAATAGCAAAGTCATGACAGACTAAACAGGCTGGGAAAATGCTTTCAAAGACGAAAGAAGAGACTAGAGTCTTGGGCACGAACCCCATGATACCTGAACCCTGTTTGGATTTGGGGCTTTTAAAAAGTCATAAAGAAATTCAGGGTTAACTAGCAAAAGTTGAATTTGAGCTGCTAAATGTCTTCGGTGCAATGAGAGTTGGTGGGTTTTTTGGGGGGTGTGGGTGATGGGGCTGCTCTATGCTCCGATGGTGGTGGTGGTGGTCCCACAAATTTATATGTCTATTCCCTTACAGGACTGTACACCAAGACGTTAATTTTATTGGATGATGACTGTGAAATAAAAATTAAAATTACTTTTGAAGATCCATCAAACTCCCCGTTCTTTCACTCGACGGGACGCCGAGGGTGGCCGGGAGCCTGTGACCTTGTCTGCGGCTGCGCAAGGCCAGGGGCCCTGAGTCAGCCCCGACCTCCCCGCCCGTCCCAGGCTTTCCCAGACCCAGATGACTGACAGCTCCAGACTCCCAAAGCGTGAGGCGCCCTCCTTTCTGGAAAGTCGGTGGGTGGGACGGGTTACGGCAAGGAGCGACGGGGGCCTTGCTGATGGGAATAGAGTAGCCACAGAAACTGGTTTTTCTTCTTCAGGGTCTCGCCTCTCTCCTGCTCCACGCCCAACAGGGATTGGGCGAGTGACTCATCATTCCCTTCAGCTTCTGAAATGTTCCCAGCTGCCTTTGTTTTCCACGCTGCTAGCCCTGAACATCCCACCCGCAGGCATCCAGCGTGGGGCCGAGAAACGCAGGTCCCCTGAATCCAGGAGCTCAGAGAGCCCCGCGCAAGCTCGGATTCTGGGATTCTGGGAAAGGGAGGCAGAGCACTGGGCAGCGCAGCTCCCTCTGGGCACACGGGACAGTCCAGGCCCCAGTGCTGGGCAAGGTGCCGGCCTGGGGGCCAGGGACCCCAGTTGTCCTCTTTGCCTCTTGTCCTGTGACTCGGATGGAACACCTCCCTCCACCCTCCACAGCTAGTTTCTGCTCCTGGCATTTCTGTAAAACCTCTGACCGTGTGGGGCCGGGGGATGGGGGGGAGGAAGTGTCTGATGGGCAGGCAGCAGGCTTCACCTTGGAAAGACCACTCGGGTCTGCGGAGGGGAGAGCTCAGCACCGCTACGCTGCACACTGAAGGCGGCCGAGTGGGGGAACTGTGTTAGTTCTGTGTATCTAACCGCAGCTCCCCCAAATCAATCATTTTCTCAAAAGCATTCTGCTGTAGCTGGAATCCAGACACGCCCCAAATGCATTCTCTAACTGAAGAGGGTCCAGAGAGACTGAAAGATGCCCGAAAGCACGGGAGGGGGGCAGCGAGCTGCTGGGTCCACGGCTCCCGCCCCGGCCGGCGTGCTCTGCCCATCCAGGCGCGTCGCCCAGGGAGACGGGCCGCGGTGCTCCCGCGGTGACACTCAGAACGAAACGAGAACGGCACGAGCCGGCCCTTCCTGGGCAGCGCCGGCTGTCAGCCGCTGCCGAGGCATGAACGCACTAAACCCCACCAACGCCCTGGGGTTGTGGCCGCTTCTCTTTCCTGCTTCGCACAAGGGCAGCTCAATGCCATGTCCAAGCTGACCCTCTCGGGTGAAGCACAGGACAGAAGTCCAGTCTTCCTGACTCAGGGGCTCCCTGGGTGGCCTTCCCGAGTTCTGGGGTCACAGATCTGAAAGTCCCCGCATGGTACCCGGCATGAAGGGGTGCTCAGCCGGCCTGTGCTCCTCCTCATTCCCCTCTGTCCTGGCTCGGAGGAGCCGGCCCCGACATACAGAACAGAGGCGGACTCTTAGGAGAGCGCCCGACCGGGGCCTGGAACTGGCTCACGCCCACAATGAAAGGAATGTGTCTCCTTTGAACTTCAGCAGGTGGGGCGCCCTGACAGGTGCTGCCAGCACCGCCCGCTGCTCCCCCTCTCCCCGGCCCACTGCACCCAGGTCTCGTGCCCCAGGGAACACCTGACCCAAGCAGCTCTTGCCTCTGGGCAGCGCCAGCCGTGTGGCCGGGGAGACGTGACCTACAGACCAGCCGGCCAAGGACGCGACCTAGACAGATGGTCGTCAAGGTCTGGTGCGAGCGAGAGAACGAGGAGAAGTGTCGGAAGCCATGCCCGCTGTTGCCAGGCCTCGAAACACAGCGTGACCCTCACAGTCCAATAGAGTGAAAGCATACCGAGTGGAATCCGGTGAGACCCCCTCACCGCCGCCCCTGCCCTTTCCCGGAGGGCCATTCACGGGGTGCTTTTCCCCTTGGCCTCTCAGCTTCTCTCTGTGCCACACCTGCGAGTGTGCACACACACCTAGCCTGTGACGAGCGACTGGCCCCTGCTGTCCCATCGTAAAATGTGTCACTGGTTGCTGCTCTCCGGAAATCGGTGCAGCGTCGGGGGGCTGTCCTCCGGGTGGGCGCTGCGGCCTGGCGTTGGCTGTCAGATGCAGCAGCGTGGACACAGACGGGAGTGGCAACCTCCTAGAGCGGGACATCGCCCAGCTGCGGGGAGGGGGTGGCCTGAGTGGTAGCTGCCAGGGTGGAAGTCCAGCAGCGATGGTGTCCGTGAGGACAGGAAGGGTCACCCCAACGTGTAAGCAGCGCAGGTCTCGCTCGGCTGCGGCTGCTGTAACTGGCGCCACGGCCTGGAGGCGCTTCCTGGCCCGGCCGGCAGGGATTTCTCAGCCCTGGAAGCTGGAGGCCCCAGCGCGGTGCCAGCGGACTCAGTGTGGGGTAATGGCCTCTTCTTCTCGGGCAGACGGCACCTCCTCCCACGGCTGAGAAGCCTCCTCTCTTCCCTTCTAGAGGCCTGAGGGCTCCGGCCCCCCCTCAGGACCTCGGGGAGGCTTAGTCACCTGCTCTCCCGGCCCCTTCTCCGAATCCGGGCACAGCGGGCCGTGGGCAGCGGAAAGAAGGAGACCCTAACCCCGAGCGAGGCTCAGGGAGGCTCAGCCCAGGTCGGAACCCGGCCTCCTGACTCCTAGGGGCCAGGCGCGCAGCCCAGGCTGTGGGGAGCTAGCTGGGAACGCGCTGGGAGCTAGCTGGGAACGCGCTGGGAGCTAGCTGGGAACGCGCTGGGAGCTAGCTGGGAACGCGCTGGGAACGCCCTGGGAACGCGGGACTAGCAGGAGAAAAGAACGGCTGGACATGAAGAGACGCCCCAAGTCACAGGTCGCCCAGGAAGTGCCAACCAAAACAGCAAGGAGACGCCACTACACGCCTATCGGAGCGGCCGAAACCCAGACCCAGACAGCCCCCCGTGCTGGCGCGGACGGGGAGCGGTAAGGACTCTCGTTTACTGCTGCTGGCAACGCAAATCGGTGCCGCCACTTCGGAAGACAGTGGGGCAGTTTCTTCCCAAAGTAAACGGGCCGTTGGGGTCGGATCCGGCAATCGTGCTCCTTGGCCTTCGCCCGAAGCAGGTGAACACCGTGTCCACGCAAACACCTGCACTGGGGCGTGTACAGCGGCTCCGTTCTTGATCGCCACGATTCGGGAACAGCGAAGATGCCCCTCAGGAGCTGAAAGGGCAAACCAGCTGTGGCTCATCCACACAGCGGATTATCCTCAGAGCCTCCGTGTCACGGAAAGGGAAGAAGGAGCCTCACCGGCACGTCACAGCGCGAAAGAAGGCGCACTGAGCAGGCGGTGCGGTTCCAGCTCTGAGACCCCCTGGGGAAGGCGAAGCTGCGGAGACAGGGGCAGACCAGCGGCTGCCGGGGGGTTTGGGTGACAGGGAGGGGCGAACGGGCACAGCACAGAGGACGCTGAGCGCGGTGGATCTGCTCTGTGTGACGCGGTAGTGATGGACACCTGTCCCCGTATGTGTCTGCAAACCCACAGCACGTGCAACACGAGAGTGACCCTGATGTCGCTGTGGGCTCTGGGTGACGACACCGTGTCAGTGCAGGCTCATCAGTTGTGACAAAGGTCCCGTCTGGTGGGGCGTGTTGATGGTGGGAGGCTGTGGAAGGGGTGGGGAGCCGGGGCAGGAGGTATACGGAAAATCTCGGTACCTTCCCCTCAATTTTGCTGCGCATCTGAAACTGCCTTTTAAAAAATAAAGTCTTGATGCAATGTAAGTGGTAGAAGCGGCTTGTAGTTCAAAACTAGTTTGAGAGGCATATTAACTCAAAAGGAAGGGAGGGAAGGAGGAAGGGAGGGAGGAAGGAAGGGAGGGAGGGAGGGAGGAAGGAAGGAAGGAAGGGAGGAAGGAAAGGAGGGGAAGGAGAGACTGGAAGGCTGGCTGGTGCTGGCGTCCGGGAGAAAGTCCCGCGGCAGCAGGGAGGGTGCAAGCAGCCTGGCTGAGGATAGCTGCCTCCCGGCAGGCTGAAGGAAACAGCTGGCTGTCTGTGTCGGGGAAGCAGTGAAGTCTGAGCCCGGGAAACACAGTTCAGCTAAAGAGGCTGACTCAGGCTTCCAGGCGGGTGGCCCCTGGCTGTTGGCGCCCGGTGGCCACTTCTCGGGCTCTCCGGGTCTGTCCTCACTCCTCAGGGGCCGCCCTCTCCAGGAACCTCGTCGGAACTGCCCGCGAGGGGGGGCGGAAAGAGAGAAAGAGCTGCAGGACAAGCCAGCTGCAGGTTTCCAAGCTGAAAGCTCAATCCAGCAGAAGGCGTCAGGGGGGAGGGAGTGGGGGACCGGATGAAAGACAGTGAAAGGATTAGCCAAGGAACATTTGTGCACAACCTGTGGACACAGACAAGGGTCGGCTTGGGATGGGGAGAGGGCGGGGCCGGGTGAAGGAGGCGAAGGAAGGGGAGAAAACTGGGAAGGACTGTCATGGCTTAAACAATCATAAAAAGTAAATAAACAAATCAATCCAGCTGCAGCTGGTCGGGGACTCGCAGGCTGCTGGGAGTGGGGGGAAGGACGGGGCAGCGGTGGCGGGGGGTTCACTTATCAGAGTTTCCCTCTGAGGATTGCGACAGCGGCTGCCCGATTGTGCAACCCTCCAGCCCTATAAATACGGAGGCGCTGCAGCCCGGGGAAGCTGTCAGCTCAGCCTCCAAGGAGCCGCGCCTCCTCCCGCCGCCCCGGCCCAGCCTGGCCGCCACCATGAAGGTTTTGTACTTGCTGCTGCTGCCTCTCTGCCTCCTCTTCTCCCAGATAGCCCCAGGTGAGCTCAGGGGCCGGGGCTCCGGGGGCACGGGAGCTGGGAGGACAGCCGGCTCTTGCACCCTCAGGGCGGAGCGGCCGGACAGCATCCCCAAGGCTGAGGGGGCCGTGCGTCTGCGGTGGTGGGCAGACAGCAGGGAACCTGCTGAGCCGCAGGTCTGCGCAGCCCCTGACCGGCTGGGAAGGAGCCTGCGGGGAGCGTGTGCAGGTTCTCGTCCCGGCACCCACCCCGGGGCCGCCCAGCTGCAGGACTGGCAGGCTCGTGCCTGCTGCCTGGCCATCCCGAAGGCCCCGTGCCCTCCGCACCTGGCAGGGACATGGGGCCGGGCCCTGGCAGCTGCCAGCACCCCCCAGCCCCATCAGGTCTTGGGCATCTAGCAAAAACACGCTGTTGGGGGGTCACCTACTCCACCTGCAAGACAGCCCCTCACACAGGGCGGCCAGCTTCCTATTCAGCTGACAGGGTGTAGGCTGTCAGCCCTGGGTCACCGGGCGGGGCCTCCCAGGTGCCCTGCTGCAAGCAGGTGCCGCCCGCCCCTCCCACGGAGCCAGCTCACCAGTGGCTTTGACTCACCTGTGTGCAGGTGCTCCAGGCCCACGGGCGGTCTGAGACCCTCCCTCCCTGAGGAGCCCGCTCACATTCTCCCCAGTGTGCGTTCCCGGTCCGGGCGGGCTGCCCCAGCTCCTCTGGGTCAGAGCAGCCAAGTTTCTGGTGTGAGAGCAGGCGGGGCCTCCAGGAGGATTTGGGGAACACGTTTCACCCCGGCCCTGGCCCATTCTCTCCCTCGGGGCCTTGAGCAAGTCCCACTTTCTGGGTGTCAGTGCCCTCCCCTGCAGGAGAGCAGCAGCTGCCTCCGATGCACCCCAGCTCTGAATTGCTCCCCAAGGTTCAAACGCATCCTTCCCAGGCCATCACTGGCGCAGGCAGATAAGCCTCCTTCACTCCAGTTGTGCCTCAGTTTCCCCATCGGAACACAGGAACAAAAGTATTCTAACACAGCATTTTTAGTGTTTGCGGCCGGTACCCTTTAGAGAACTGGAGAAACTGACTGAGCTGCAGCCGGTTTTTTCAAAAGCGTGCTTCCACTCTGTCCTGCCACGTGTGTAAGCGTGCACGCTGTTCTAGTGCATGCGGGTTTGGGTTGTGTGTGCACGTGTGTGCGCATCGAGTAGCCGTGCGCCGTCAGAAAGTTGGAATGCCGCTTTGGGACCCTGAAGAGTCCTCTTCCTCCCTTACGTCTGAGTGGGGTTATTATGAGCATCCCATTCCGGGCACAGGAGACACAGGTGTTTCCAAGGACACGCAGGAGCAGCTGCACTGGCCAATCATCCGTGGAAAAAACACGAGCTGACACTGGGGAGCACTTAGTAAACACGGGGCGAGCTCGAGTGCTCCTGGGGTGGGGGCGGCTCTGCCCTGTGCTTGCACAGCACACCTGCCCAAACCTACCAGGCTGGGGGTTCTCCGTATGGGGACCAGGACACCTCAGGAAGGCGTGTCCCTTGGTTGGGGGGGGGGGGCTGTTCTGGAATGGGGAGATCTGTGCCCACCACCACCCCCGGGCTGAGCCTGGGTGGGTGGGGGGACTCAGATCGCCCCAGAGGCTCCGTTAAGTTACTGCCGCTGGGTGAGGTGTTCAGGTCGTGAGCCTGGCCACAGGAAAGGCCGTTTGTAACACACACATCCTGCACCAGGGTTTTCTGTGTTTTCTGGACATGGTTGTCGGGGGGAGGGGGCAGGGACAGCTATGCCCTCCACCCTGTCTTCTGCCACAGGACTCCCACAGAGTCTCTGCCTCACTTTCCGGGCTCCAGCTTAGGGTGTCTGCTGCAGCTGTTCTCGCCACGGCCACAGTCGTGCGGTTGCTCTGGTGGCTGCTGCCCGCTGGCTCCGCAGACTGCTGTGTGTGGTCGGCGTGATCCCAGGTCCAAGTTCAGTGCAGGGGGTGGGGGGTGCTGTCCCAGGCCAGCTTGCTCCCACCTCGCCCCCTCACTCACCTGAGCCCTGACATGGGATCGGCCCACTCCTTTTCTGGAAGGGTCCTTAGAGCTCCTTAGGCTGACTCAGTCGGTTCACGGGTGGGGAAACCGAGGCACACAGGAGCCGGGGTGAACGAGGGTCACACGGTCACTGCCAGAAGTCATGACACTCTCTGCGGCAGTCCCCATCTCTGACCAGAGCTGCCCACACCTGTCCCCTACAAATGCTCTTCCCGAGAGGACCGGCGATGTCAAAACGGCCCGGTGACTCAGGTCCCTGAGTCAGCAGGTCCAGGGCCCCGCCGAGGTGTTTGGAAATCAAGGCGGTTTGAGGCGGTCCACTCCCCGCGCCCGCAGACATTCACCGTATTTTTAGGACTGTAAGACACACCGGACCTTAAGACACACCTAGGCTTTAGAGGAGGGAAATAGGAAAAAAAATTTTTAAAGCAAAAAATGTGGTAAAATATTTAATAACCTGTGGCCCTGTTCCACCACCACCCACCCCCGCCACAGCAAGCCAGGTAAGCTACATTCTGACTATGAGATGCACCCCACTTTTCCTCCCAAATTTGGGGGGCAGTACATCTTATCATCTGAAAATACGGTAGTTTGCAGCTCCTATGCCCGGGCGCTGCCCAGGACTGGGGAGAGTCAGGGACGCAGCCACGTGAGTTCAAATTCTAGGAGCAGAGCCCGGCAAGAAACCCGCGTATGTAACAAATACCCCTAGGGTCGATCGTGCTGGGGGTGCCGGCAGGGCAGGGTGCACAGGGCAGGTGTGACTGCGGGAGGTGACCCAGCCTCGAGGGGCCAGGGCGGCTGAGAAGTGAAGGGAAAACGGGAGTCATGTGGTGTTCGTGGTATTTTAAGAAGATAAAAGTTAATTCCTCCTTAGCCTTTAACGATCAGGACATGCCACAGAAAACGTAGGTTTTCACCTTCTCTTACAAACACATAAAACGTGGCAGCAGTGAGCCACCCCGGAGTAGCAGCTGCTGGTCCAGGCCGCCTGCTCCCCGCTGGCCGCAGCCCCCACCGCCGCCCACCGCCCCTCCCCGGCCCACGCCACAGATTTACGGCAGCTGCCGGCCGGCCGCTGTGGGCACCCGAGGTGACAGCCCTGAATCAGATGAGTGAGAGACAGCAGCAGGCCTCGGGGAACAGGGACAGTCCAGACAGAAAGGGCAGCGGGTCGGAAAGACCAGAAGGTGATGAGGAATAAAAACGAGAGCTCTCACTGTTATCGCACACCTCACAGAGCCCCGATGGAGGAGGAGTGACCGCTACCCCCACCCTGTGGGTAAATAACGTGGCCAGAGTCACGTGACTGGCCCCGAGTGCGCAGGGACTGTAGGGATGGGGCATCAGCCTGCAGGCCAGCCTGCCTGCCTCTCGGCCCCGAGGGCACCGGGAGCTGAGCAGACTCGGGGGGGCCAGACCCGGGGCAGGCCAGTCGAGACCTCAGGTGACCCCCCGGGTTCGGGCGAGCCCCGAAAGGCTCACACACTGGGAGGGTGGCAGGACCAGGGACGGCGTGAGAGGCTGGTCGGAGGCTGAGCAGATGAGAGCGTGGGGAGGGGCGGGCGGCGGCGAGGACAGCGCTCCCCTGAACAGGGCCACCCCCTCCAGCGGAGCTTCTCCCCGGGTGACCAGCAGCTCAGCCTGCCCTGCCAGATTAGCCAGGCCCATGGTAAAGCACCGGCCATCCCTCCTCCATGCTCCCCTCTTCTTCCCTGGGGACACCGTGTGCATCCCTGGGAGCTTGGGCCTCAGTTTCCTCGCCTGGAAAACGAGAGCATTCAGCAAAACGACTCCCAGCTGCCACGTTCCAGGACCCTCCATCTCCGCCCACGTGCCCACACCTGAGTGTCGCGTGCCGCCATCCCCACCCCCGCCCGCTGACCCGAATTCCCTGCGCCCGTCGGACCTCGGGCGACTGCCGGCAGGCATGTGCCTGCTGTGTGACCTCTGAACCCCCGGGAAGAACGTGCGCCCTCGGCCCGTCCCAGGCGGACGGAGGGCGCTGATGGGCCACACGCGGGGAGGAAAGGGTCCGCACCCACACCAGAGGCCGCAAACCCCTGTGGGCGTCACCGCACCGAGTGTCCCCGGCATCTCTACTGGGCGGGGACTCCTCGGAGTGGTCGTCCTTATTTTAGACTTTATCCCCACGTCGTAGACTAGGTTTCAATCATGAATCTCACAGAGGTCGACTCCTCAAACGCCCGGCCCGCGAACACCCCAACCCGGCCCCCACTCCGAACGCCACGTTCTGCCTGTCACCTCCCGAGGCCCCCTGGACGCGCCGCTGGGCCCGCAGAGCTTCGTCAGGAGCAGCCCAGACAGGAAGGCCAGCTCCCAAGCTTCCATGAACTTAGCGAGGGGCGTCGCTGACCACCCACGAGCAGCAAGAGGCCACAGTGGACAAGGACTTCCTGGGCTACTCGTCGGCAGGGAGGGCCTCGGGCCTGGGTTATGTCCCGCTTTGTGGGTTTGATTTCTGTCCCCACTGAGTTTAACGGAGTCATAGGAATGCAGGGCGACCCTCTCCGGCCCCTGCTGCACGCTGGGTCAGCATGGCCCCTAAGTCGGCCAGCAGCCTCTACCTCAGTGACCGCAGTGGGAGGGGGCCGTGCTCGTGGGCAGTGCTTCCCCCACCTGGTCCTGACCAGGGGCAGAGCCTCGGCTGACTTGCCGAGGCCCAGGGGGCTCCGACGAGCTGACTCCTCGCCTCTGACCAGCCCCGGCCCACGTGGGGTCCGCCGAGGGGTGGACCCCTGCGGCAGGCGCCGCGAACAGCTGGCCAGCACGCTCCGCTCCTGTGCATGTGCCTCTGCGTCTGCCCCTCCCCCGCGCCACCCGACGGGCCACGTCAGCCTTGTGCCAGCCCTGACCTCCTCCCGGTCTCCGCTCTTCGCAGTCCTGGGAGGAGACGGGGGCGTGGGTCCTGGCCGTGGCGGAGTGCGGCCTCCTCTTCCCCAACACCCACGTCACCCGCGCCGTTCTCTTCCGCCTCGGCCGGTAGTCTTTTAGAGCAAGACACCGACAAGTTGGCCAACGGCTCTCCAGCTGTCCCTCCTCCCATTGTTCCGCACGGTCCCATTGTTCTCGTTGTGTAACAGGGAGCGGCCACATTTCGGAGTGGGATGGCAGAGGGCGACGTGCATTTTCAGCAGCCTGATCACCACGCTCCCCTCCCCTCCCCTCCCTGGCTCGGCCCCTGAAAGGCTCTCCTTCTCCTGCCTCTTCTCTGTCAAGTCCAAAGACTGCGCTCTGAGTATCCAACACGTCTTCTTGGCCGTGTCTCTCTCCTGCTACGGACCCTGGACCGCCACCCCCGACCTGTGCAGACCATGGTTGGGCTCAGTGGCATTGAAAGGGGACCGTTCCGCCTTCCCGAACACTTTTATTTTCTGATGGCTCTAGAACCCACCCGCCTGCGCCCGCTGCCGTAACCCCTCTCCCTGCCTCCCGTGTTTGTTCCCGGCCGGTCCGCCGGCACAGGTTTCCCAGTTCGCTGCCTGCTGCTTCGTCACAACTACCCTCAGTCGCCCAACACACAGTATTGCGCTCGACTAGGAAAACAGTTGGTGTGGCAGCTGTGCCTGGGCAGGAATTTTGTTTTCGCCTTGGCAGGATTGTTGACTGGCCTCACTGACGTACACTGGAAAGAGCCCCTCTTCCAGCTGCAAGCAGAGAAACTCGGGCATCTTTTGGGAAGGGCCTGTTTGCCTTCTGCCCATGTTTTCTCTCAGAGATCTGGCTCTTCTTAGTGATTTGTAGCAGTTCCTTACACAGCGCGCGTACAAGCCCTTTGTCGGTTGTGGGCATTCCAAGCCGCTCCTGGCTTGTGCCTGGATTTGCGCTGTCCTGAAGGAGGCTCTCCTTCGGGGTTTGCATCGCTGTTTTCATGAGGCTCGTAAATGCGTCACGGCTTCTGCTTCAGGGTTCAGGTTCTTTCTGCACCTTAGGGTATATTTTTTAAGCCAGAGGCATGAGGAAAATCTTCAGTATTGTCTTCTGTGAGCTTATTGTTGTCTTTTTAAAATTTTTATTTATTTATTTTTATGGAGAGAGGAAGGGATGGAGAAAGAGAAGGAGAGAAACATCAATGTACCGTTGCCTCTCATGTGGCCCCCACTGGGGACCTGGCCCACAACCCAGACATATGCCCTGACTGGGAATCGAACTGGAGACCCTTTGGTTCACAGGCCATGCTCAGTCCACTGAGCTGCACCAGCCAGGTTATTGTTGTCTTTTACAGGTAGGCTTGTAAAGGGGTGTGTGTGTGTGTGTGTGTGTGTGTGTGTGTGTGTGTGTGTACGGTCAGGTAAAGGTGAAAGTTCCTTCCATACGAACATCCAGGTGTCCCCAAGCCAGCCCGGGGGAGGCCCACTTCCCCCGCTGCTGCGCCGACCTGCGGTTGTTCTCCAGCAACGCCCCACGCGTGCCCGGGGCTCGTTCCGCACTCTCTGTCCTGTTCCATCCCCATGTTGTCCTGGTGCCCCCCCGCACGGTCGGACTCCCGTGGCTCTATAATTAGTCTTGGCATCTGGTAAAGCCCGTCTTTCTGCCTTCCTCTCCCAGAGCGTCTCGGCTACTCTTGGCCCTTTACATTTCCGTGCAAGTGTTAGGTTCGCTTGGCAAGTTTCGCTGAAACAGTCTCCTAGGATTTCCACAGCATTGGGTCAAATCTGTAGATTAATTTGAGGAAAATTGACATTTTAAGAATAATTAATCTTCCAATGCTTAAACAGCCGTTTCACTCATTTAGATGTTCTTTAATTTAACAAAAATATTTTATTCCTTATAGATAGAGGTATTGCACATATTTTCTTAGATTTATAAGTAGAAACTGGCTGTTTTGTGCTATTCTAAATGGTGTTTTATTTTAATTTTATTTTTTCTATCGGTTGGTAGTATACAGAAGTAAAATTATTTTTTTCCTTTTTTTTGTCTGCTGATCTTATACAGCAAACTTGCTCAATTTGCTTATTGATTCCTCCTGGGCTGTCCACATAGAATCATAATGCCTGCAAATACTGAGAATTTTATTTCTTCCTTTACAACACTCATCCACTTTATTTATTTCCTCATTTGTTATCTTATTCCCCTGGCTAGTGCCTCAAGTACAGTGTTGAACGAATGGATGATGGCAGCCATGCTGGTCTTGTGGCCAGTCTCAGACGGCAAGTGTTCAGTGTTTGCCCTCTAAGCGTGCTGCTTGTTGTAGGCTTCTGTAAGCATTCTGTGTCGCATGAAGAAAGTTCCCTCTAGCTCCTCATGTGCTAGGAGTTTTTTATAAGTCAATGTTGAATTTTCTCCCGCATTTTCCTGCATCTGTGGAGAAAACCATATGCTTTTACCCCTTTATTCTTTTTTTTAAAGATTTTATTCATTTATTTTTAGAGAGGGAAGAGAGGAAGAGAGAAAGAGAGAGAGAGAGAAACATCAATGTGTGGTTGCTGGGGGTCATGGCCTGCAACCCAGGTATGTGCCCTGACTGGGAATCGAACCTGTGATGCCTGGTTCACAGCCCACACTCAATCCACTGAGCTACGCCAGCCAGGGCTCCCCCTTTATTCTTTTTTTTTTTTTAAAGATTTTTATTTATTTATTTTTAGAGAGGGAAGGTGGGGAGAGAGAGAGAGAGAGAGAAACATCAATGTGCGGTTGCTGGGGGTTCTGGCCTGCAACCCAGGAATGTACCCTGGCTGGGAATCGAACCTGGGACACTTTGGTTCCCAGTCCGTGCTCAATCCACTGAGCTATGCCAGTCAGGGCTCTCCCCCTTTATTCTTAATAGGCATTGACTGATGTTCACATGTTAAATGACACAGCCAAATGGGAAATGAAAGCTGAACCTGGTTTTGCTTTGTCCACTGAGAATGTATGTAGGACCTTTGCCTCTGCTGACCAGGGAGGCTGACCTGCGAGTTTCCCTCCCTTTCCTGCTATGACTAATCCTGTCCGATTTTGGTATGTAGACCATCCTGACATCCCATTGTGAACTGGTGAGCATTCTTCCTCTTTTATTCTGAGAAACAGCAGGTGTTGACACTGCTCCTTATTTGTCCCCTGGGAGGGTGTGCCGGTGAAGCCACCTTGGCCTGGGGGGTTATTTCTGGACTCGAGTTCTTGGACAGTTACGGGGGCTATTTAGATTTTGACATCCTCGTTTGTTTATTTTAGTAAGTTGTGTTTTTCTGAGAATTTCTCTATGTCAACAAAACTTTCAAGCTTGTCCAAGTGAATATTCTATTTTTCTATAGGAGTGCATACGTAGAAAATTATTATTATTGCAACTAACTGTTCCTGTTTTTCACGTGCTGCCCTTGCCCCCACCCCTGGCTGCCCCCAAATCTTGCCCCCGAAATTCTTGAGTTCTCTGGCCAAATGTGAAAACCAGCGGTCCAGAAGTTCTCAAGCCTTTCCTGCATGTTAAATTTATCTGAGGAGTTCTTTAAAAAAAAAAAAAAAAAGACCAGCCCATAGACTGCGCCCCGGAACGAGTGTATCGACACTCGGGCGGGCATCACAGCTGAGTTTCACGTGGGTGCAGCAGGAAGGGCCACCGGTCTGGGCCGCGCCGTGCCCACCTGGGCGCTGCTGACCCTGGGCCCAGACAGCTCTGCTCTGAGGGCTGTTTCGGGCCCTGCAGGCATGTAGCTGCATCTCTGCCTCTACCCGCCTAGCACCTCCCACGCCCTCCCAAACAAGGTGTCCCCAAACAATGTGTCGACCAGCAATGTCCCCACACATTGCCCAATGTCTAGTCACCAGACACCCACAGTTGTAGGGTGGGTGCTACGGATTGAATAAGAGAACCATCTCAGTCAGTACAAGGGACAGTTCCCAACGAGCAGAGGTGTGTGACGTCAGAGTGCACCGTTTTCCAGGGAGAGGACGGGCTCTTGCATCAGCCAGCTGGGGCGGCCGTGACGAAATACCCCCGCGTGGGCCCCTCAGACAACCAAGATTTATGTTCTTGCAGCTCTGGAGGCTGAAGTTCAGGTGCAGGTTGCAGACAGGACGGTCTTCTCCTGAAACCTCCCTCCCTGGCTTGCAGACAGTGGCCTGTGCGGCGGCCGCACGGGGCCTGCCCTGTGTGTGCACGCAGCCCCCACGTGTGTGTGTGTGTGTGTGTGTGTGTGTCTCTCTCTCTCTCTGTGTCCAAATCTCCTCTTCTTGCCGGGGCGCCCGTCGTGTCGGATTAGGACTGACTCGTAGGACCTTGTTGAACCTCAGTCACCTCTTCAAAGGCCCGGTCTGCAAACACAACCACACTCTGAGGCCATGGCTGGCTAGGGCTTCAACACAAGCACTGGGGGCGCTGAGGGGGCACAGTTCAACCCGTAACACCTATGGGTGCGGAGCCGTGGCTTGAGTGTCGCTCCCCCAGGATACCCACTGCAGGGGCCGCTTTGTTCTCATCTGCCTGCAGCTGCCGGACCGTGAGTCTGGAGATGGTATAACTGGGACGCTCTGAGATTCTGGGAGGAAGGCAGGGTACATCCCGGCGGAAGGAACAGCTTTAGGGGCAGCCTGTCCTGCTTCACCAGATGTCCCAAAGGCCCGTGGGCCGCCAGCCCCGAGCCTGACGTGTGCTCTCTCCCCGCTTCCAGGTGCGGGCCTCCTGACCCTGTTCCACAGGTACCCGGAATACGTGTGCGTCAAGAAGGGGGGAACCTGCAACTTCTCCCCCTGCCCGCGCTTCACCAGGGCTGAGGGCGGCTGCTACCAGGGGCGAGCCAAGTGCTGCATCTGAGCCGGCCGCCGCGAGCCTGCGGGCACTCTCTGTAAGCGTTGTTTTAGTGAAAGAAAAAGCCCTTTCTTTTTTTTTCTTCAACATCCCTCTTTCGGACCAAAATGAATCTTGTGTCTCCTTTTGGAAGAGGTGAGGAGGCAGGGGGACTAGGAGGGAGGCACGCCAGGCTGCCAAGCCCGTGAGCCCGGGACGGGGGCGCTCTCCTCATCACCTCCTCCTCGTTTCGTGACCAAACCGACACGTGAGCCATGCAAGGAGTCCGCGCGCCGTCGAGAAGACGTGACGAGGGGACAGGCGACTTCAGGCCCCGCTGGGCCGGGCAGGAGCCCACCCCAAATCCGGTGCTCGCAGGGGCCCGGCCCCTCCGCAGAGCTACAGCTGCCACCTGCCTCCTTCCTGGGCCTGGGGCCGCGGGGCCGTCCAGCTTAGCAGCTGAGAAGTTCCAGTCTGACCGTGAAACGATTCGGCTTCAATGCTCCGCTCTCCAGGCCTAACGTCTGGGTTCCCAGGGGATGGTTTCTGGCTCTTCTGCCAAGTCACAGGCCTCTCACGAGCCCCCGCTGGGAGCCCCGCCCCCGACGCAGCGCGCGTGCCTGCCTGCCTGTCTGCAGAGCACCTGAGCCCGCGGCCACGCGTGGGCAGAGAGACGGTCCGCCTTCCCTTTCTCCCAATAAATGTTTTGCAGCTGGTGAAGCATCCGTCGTCCCTGGTCGGCTACGGGCCCCCTCGTTCTCCCCACGTCGCCAGAGTGTAAACGCACCGATGAGTGTCAACCGTTGCAAGAACCGTCGCCCCAGGGGGCGCCTTAGACACAGCGCCCCCCTTGGGTGAGCAGAGGAGCGGCCGACGGGGGCGGCCGGTTCCGGCTGAGAACTCCGGCGCTGGCGGCGGCCCACCCGCAGCGTGGGGCTGCACGACGACGGAAAAGCCAGGAGGGGCTAGGAGCGGTGCCGGGTGGGGACTGGAAGCATCGGGGGAACCCTCTGTGAAGTTCGGGATGGCCTGACCAGTGTGCTGTGCGCCTGAAACTAACACAAAATAAAACTGACTGTAAACTGTCTATGAAAAAATTCTTTTGAAAATACAATAAAAGTTGTCTAAGTTGTTTTTTTTAAAAAAAAAACCCGCTAAGGAATCCTCCAGGGCCACTCTGCCCTGAGAAGCGGCTGCAGGGACGCCGCCCACCCCTAGAGGCGGAGCGAAAGGCGGATCCGGGGGGCGGAGCCTCCCACCGGCCCGCTGGCCGGTTGCCACCCCCCCCCCCCCGCCACGCCCCAGCCTCACTGCAGCAGCGGCAGAGGGAAGCCCTTGCTTTACCAGGCGGCTTCGGTTCACGGGGTCGTGGTGACGTGGCCGCCCTGCCAGGAGCTCCTCAAGGACATTTTTATGAACCCTCAGCCACCGACCGAGACGTCACTGCCCATGCCAGGAACACGGTGGGAGGACACCAACAGCGCTGTCCCCAGAACCAGGCTCAGAACCGGACGGACTAGAGGACCCCTGCGGCCCTCCCCGTCCCGGTGACAGGTGGTCCCAGGGCTCACGCCCCCCTCCCCTGGGCAGCCGTTCCTGCCCGCAAGGTTTAAAGGGAGGGCAGCAGATACATCTGTGGCCTCCTCTGGCCCCACCCCCCGCCCCTCACGCCTCTGTCCTCCGCCCAAAGCTCAAGCCTGCAGCTTAGGAGCCCCCACCCCACCCAGCCCCACTGTCCTGGGACTCTGACCCTGACACCGTCTCACTGGGTCCCCTCGGAAGGAGCCGCCCCACTTCTCCCCGAGGGTGGCCTCTGATCACTTAACAATCAACTGTCCCCGGGACACACCTCCACCCCCTGTCACCACCACCCTCTCTCTGTCAGCCTGAAACACAAAGGTATGGCCTGGGCCCTCCTCCCCCCCCGGGGGAGCTCGGCTTGGAAACGAAGGGCTTTGCGTAGAGCTGTCCTCGACCCACTGCACTGCGCCCCCGCATGGGCGCAAGGCCCCAGCCCACGGTCCCTACGACTGCACCTGCTTAGGTGAAGGAGAGTGAGCAGGCGTGGGGTGCCCGCTCGCACCCTTGGGGACTGTGGTCCTCCCTCCGGCGTCACGGGCTCCCCCGCCTGCCAGTCCCTGCACGTGCTGACTGCCCTGCATGAGAAAGGCGTCCTCGGGGTGGATGGGTTTGCCAGGCTGCCCTTGGCCGGCGTCTGCCCCCACCCCTACTCCCCAGAACGCCTGCCTGCCCGGTGCCAGTGCGGTGGTAGATGGCCCAGCTTACAGCCCGCAGAAACAGGACATACCTGGCTACTTTGGTCAGATGTTACTTGAACGCCAACTCTAACGACCTGCAGGGGCCGCTGCCACCTCTACAGCGTCGGACATAGCAGTGGCCTAAACCTTCCCCCCACTCTGGCCTCCTGCCTCCCTGCCCCCGTGTGGCCTGTCGCCGGGGACCTGGGAATGTAGTCAACAGGCTTCCGGGGCCCCTCCTCCGTCTCCTGGAGGCCACACCTGACTGACCATCCCAGGGAGGAACACAGAACACCGGGCAATAAGAACAGCAGTGTAGCAGCAGGTGACAGGGGACTTCGGAGACGCCCCCTGCAACCTGGCTGGCTGCGGGGCTGCCCTGGGGCCTCGATGGCCGCGGAAGTGTGGTGGGGGGGAGGCAGGTGCCCCACAGATCAGAGCTGGTGACACAGAACAGGGCCTTGTGGACCCTCAGACGAAATAGTTCATTTGGCCCAATGTAATTCGAAACCAAGACTTTCTTATTTTTAGTTATTTTATTGTTGTTCACATACAGCTGTCTGCATTTACCCCTGCTCTCCCTCCCCCACCCCAGCCATCCCCACCTCCCTCCCCTGACTCCACCCCGCCTTGGTTTTGTCCGTGTGTCCTTTATAGTTGTTCCCGAAAACCCTTCCCCCTTTCCCCCCATTATCCCCTCCCACCTCCCCTCTGGTCACAATTTCAATGTCTCTGGTTATATTTTGCTTGCTTGCTTGTTCATTGTGTTGGTTAGATTCCTGTTACAGGTGAGATCCTGTGGTATTTGTCCCTCACCGCCTGGCTTACTGCACTCAGCATGATGCTCTCCAGCTCCACCCACGCTGCCTCGAAGGGCAGGAGGAACCAAGACTTAGAGCTTGTGATATAAAACTGAACTCATGAGGGGTGACCGTGCCCGCTGCTTCTCCACGTGGTGGCCCAGTCCTGCCTGCTCTGAAATCTGGATCAACTAAAGGCACCTCCTGGTGGGCCGGCACGACCTTGAGACTACGGTTCCAGCCGTCGGGGCCCCCAGTCACCAGTGTCACTAAAATCGCTAATTCTGCTCAGCCGGCGCCCGGTGAATACTGTGCTCTCCTGGACTGGGCTAACCCGTTCTGCTCAGGGCCCACATCAAAGGCCTCTCGTCAGTGGTCCCCTTCTCCAGCCCCCCCACGGGGCCCTCAGCGGTTCCACAGTCCCTCCCCGTCCTGGCAGATGACACCTTTGCTGCCCCTGCCTTGCTCCAGGAGCACAGGCGTGACACCACCTGGACGACATCCTCCTCCAAGGAGAGTCACCGGACACTCTAAGGACACGTGAATCTAACGTCTCTCAGTCCATCTGGGGTCCTGGTGGCCACAACCCTCACTTCCCAACTTCACTGCCCAGTTAAAACCAGCTGTCACTCCCGATGGCACTCAGAGACGCTGCCCCTGCAGAGGCCTCCGCAACCTCTTCTCAGGCCCCCGGGGCTTTCTGGGCCACCGGTGACGGCCTCTGCTTGCCCGGGGGCTCCTCCCACTGCCCCTGACGCTATCTGCCTTGGGCCACACACGGTTAAAACCACAAGCGACTGGACGCCCGCCTGCCAGGTGCCACTGGCTTCAGGGCGCTCGCGGACCCTGAGCCTGCAACCCTCCGTGCCCAGCTCCCCAGTGTGCTTTCCGTCACAGAGGCAGGCACTGCCGTTGTGGGCACCCCGTGCTCGAGAGACACACGGGGAACTGAACCGTCGTGGTGTCTGCAGCGACCTCTCAAGCAGCTGGACGCAAAGATGGGCGGCGAAGCCATGGCGGCGGGTGCGTCCAGGGCAGCGTGCACTGGGGCTCGTGGCGTGGGATCTGCATGAACGTGGAGGTCTGATATGCTCCCCATGAAAGTCGGGGGTGGAAACATCTAAGAACCAAGGTACGCAGCACAAGAGAGGATTCAAATGAAGGGAAACGTCGCATTACGATCCTCTACTCTCTGGCCTGCGAACCAAAGGGTCGCCGGTTCAATTCCCTGTCAGGGCACATGCCTGGGTTGCGGGCCAGGTCCCCAGTAAGAGGCATGCAAGAGGCCACCACACATTGATGTTTCTCTCCCTCTCTGCCTCCCTTCCCCTCTCTCTAAAAAATAAATAAGTAAAATCCTCTATGCTTACATTTGCATTGGAACAATCGCTATAAATCATGGTGCTCCCCTCCCCCCACAAATAAGGAGTATTTCTTAGCCTCTGCCCCTGGTGACACAGTGACCGGCAGCAATGGTGCAGGCCCCTCGGGCTCGGGCTCGGACCACAGTCGTCCCCACTGGGAAGACCAGGGCTATTGGGGGAAAGAGCAGAGCCCCGTCTGACCCAGGACACGTACAGGCGGCACCTCCTGGTGCCGGGGAGGAGGGAAGGCGGTGAGAATGGACGGGTCCGAGGAATGCGGCTCCAAGCCGGAGGGGGCCCGGGGGCGAGGACGGGGCGTCTGCCATCGGGGCAGAGAGAGCGATGGCCGCGGTCGACTGAAACGTCAAACATCTACCCATCCCCGCGTTCCCAACGGCACGTGCACAACAAAATTGCCTGTGGCTGGAGTTTTTCAGGGGCAGCAACACGTCCGTCTGGATACTGGGAGACAGAAACGAGGAAGCTCTCATTCTGCCTCGCTGGTCCAAACGGTAGTTTAACAGCAATAATAGTTATTTGAAGGAAACACCTTCTCATAGAAAGTCTCCAGCGTCCCCGAACGAAACCACAGGCGCGAATCCTCTGTCAGTAGATTTAAAAGCGCCCGGGCGAAGCGTGGCGGGGATGTGACGATCGGGGGAGGCTGCCGCCGGCCGGGCTCGGTGGCCGACCTTCACCGGGAGGGAGAGACGGGCGTTCACAGGGCTTCTGCGGCCCCGTGGCAGGAGGCACCCAGCACCACCTGTGGAGTACTCGGGCCAAAAGCCGTTGAACCTGAACCTAATCGAGGCTGTAGATCTAACGACCCCTTTGCAAGAAACACAGAAGTTGGAGACACAAGGAAAGCAACAGCTCGAGGGGGCCGTCAATCTGTCAGGCCCGGAACGTGAGCCACGCCGCAGGGCCGGCGACCTGGGTCGCCCCGCGTCCAGCAGCGAGAGGGACACGGCAGGGTGCTGCTGTGGAAGGAGGAGGAACGGAGACCAAGCAGCCCTGCGGGTTGGGTTTGGACCCTGCGCTGCGGGGACCAGCTGCACAAAGAAATGTCTGAGACGGTCCCGCAGGCTTCAGTGTGCACCGGGCAACAGCACAGGCGTGTTGTGGGTTCCAGGAGGTGTGGCTGCAGGCGGTGGGGCAGGTGTTGGCAGAGAAACAACCCCTCGGTCACAGTTGCCTGTGAAGGGTTGAGACCAACGTGACGTGCTGTCCTGTCCGCTAAGCTGGTCGGTGCCCGAGAACTCGGAGCGCCCCCCCGTGACAGCGACCCCGGCACACTCCCTTCTGACCCCTGCAGTGTGGCAGGTTTAAACCACGGCCGGCTCTGGCCTCCTGGCCCCGGCCCAGACTGCAGGCCTTCGTCACATGTCACCTCCCGGACACATTAACCCCTGAGCTTCCCCCTCGCGGCCACGCAGCGACCCCGCTCATTGGTGTATGTTCCCTGACCGGCAGGAAAATGGGCTCAGGGAGGGCAAACCCGCCGGGAGCCGAGGGGGCCCCTCCCCCGGCCTATGGCAGCATCCCCACGTGCCCAGGGGGAGGGGCGGAGGGTGGCTGCCCTCCTCAAAGTCCGAGCTTGGCGCTTTGGGACCGGCCGAGCCGCTCCGCTCGGTGAAAACCAGGGTGCCGCGTGGGCAGGGCCTTCCTGCCGCCCAGGCATCCGAAACCTGC